CTCCCTTTCCAAAGTACAGCGATTTTGCACTTCCATGTACGAGAGGCTGTTCATCTGCCTTCCTGATGGGTCCCTTTCCGCAACAAAGGGCAGGTGTATCAACAGTAACAGATGAGGCTGGATGGAAGAAAATCGGCCAACTTGAGCAGGTCTAACATGGTAGATGAAGTCTAGATTGCGGAGGTCTCCTTGCCGTCCTTGCCAGGATGGAATACCTTGGACTCCTCTACATTTAGCATGCTGGAACGGCCATGAAGACGTCGTAAACGCTTTGCTCAAGGCGTCTGGTGGTTCGGACTTGGACTTCGTGGGTAAGGAGGGGAAGTTGTCTTCTTCTTATTGATGAGTCAATGAGTGTCAACTTGCGTTTGCAGATTCCATGGGCCAGACATCTTTGATTTGCGACATGATGCGATGTTCAAATAAGTCTGATTTCACTTCGTAAACCCAGGCGGCATATCAAATGCTGGCATGTTGAACATGCAAATTGCTCAAACAACTGCGATGGCGAGTTTGCCCTGCTAAACCTCAGAACATCTTACGATGCAGAGATGCAGAAAAGCCTTCTTTGCCGCCTTGAAAACATCGGAACGTATCGGAACAGCGTGTCTCAAAATAAGGTGATCGGATGCAAAGCAATACAACACATTGACAATCACAAGCAAATTCACTATCCAAACAGGGTAAAAGCAGAGAGAACCTCAAGACCTCAAGCCCGCAGGAAAATCCAAAACAATCCAGAAGTAGCCCCCCTTCAAAGCTTAAGGTTGACCTGGTTGTGTTTGTTTTGATGCCTAGCACGTGCCTAACGCACCCAGGAGACGGCTCCTGTGCCTATGTGGCGTCCAGCGTCCAGCATCTCTGCTGGTGCTTCTCCATTGCATTTGGCCGCTCTGCGGGGACATCCCCAGGTGTGGCTGATCGGCTCCGGCGGCTGCGTACCTGCGTACGTTGGAGGTCGCACGGATGATGTTCACATGGGAAAACCAATCCGAAGGGGTGGCTGTTTTCAGCAGCTTGGGTCGCGATGTCTTCCGCTCGTGTCTCAGACATGTTTTCAAGAAATCGGAGCTGGTGCCAAAGCTCATGGACTTCTCCCGGGATTGACGCTCATCGAATCGGTGCAAGTTCGCGAGAAGAACGCTTTGAGAGCGCCTGCTACGGTTTCTTCCTTCTTTTGAATGCAGCATGTTGCATGTTGCTTTGCCATAGCAACAGTGGCAATTGAATTTGTTGATCATGTATAGAACAGGTTTCGATACAACAGAAGACAAGACAACATGAAGCATCAAATGCAGTGTTCACAGTGGGCTGGAACGCATCGATTGCAACAGCGGAGGAGCAGGTTTAGGGAGGCCCACAGCATCAAGTTACTGTACATCAAGTGGATCAAAACCCAAACCAGAGAGATGGTCGTCGGTGTGTGCATTCATCACAGTGACGTCACGTTCACGGTGACTCACCGACCATCTGTTCTTGACACCGGCACCGGCATCGGCGTGCATCGGCGCGTGCGCATCTGTTCCAATGGAATCGCTTTCGTCCTTGGATGGCGTGGTGCTGCAGGTCCTGCAGCATCTCCTCGATGCGGCACCTGAACTTGCGGATGCTGTAGATGCAAGTGAGGCACCCTTGCACAGAACTTGGCCGATGTGGTTTTTCCTCCGTCTCTTCAAGTTGTTTTGATGTGTGTTTTTCCTTCAAAAATGCAAGCTCTGCAAGACGAATCCCGGTTTAGTGGTTCAGCAGGGTGAATCTTTGTTCCGGCCTCCTGTGAGGAGGTGTCCAGTATTGAGTATGAACTTCTCAGATGTCGTTCGTGCCCCACCTTTGCTTTCCATGGTTTAGCTGCAACATGCGCACTGGTGTGTGTGTGTGTGTCATCAGTTGCACCGGCTGCAGTGAATTCTTTGCGTGATATGAGTTCCTTTCACTAGGAACACAAAGGGCAACTGCAGAAAGGGTGGTTATGAAGTAACTCATTATACATAATATATAGTTATTTATAGGCAATACACTGGTACACAAAACCATCATGAATCAAACAAACTGTTTAGTCTCAAAATGCAAGATCAAATGGTAGGTGAATTTAAGGATACATAATTTACCAATTGGTCAACTTTCAGGTTCCAGCATTCACTGGCAAGCCAAGTGCACTCCGACCGGATGGAGGCTACACCCCTCCATCGTGCTGCGCAGGGTGGAGATATGGAGGTGTGGTGCCTGAACCGGTCGTGAAGTGGGATAAGCTCATTCTGAATGGATGCACATAGTGGGCTATATACTATTTTTTAAACTTGTGAGTTGTTTTAGTTTTTGTCATTCTTTCGGGGTTGTTCATGAAACACTGTGCTTGTGATGTGGACGGCTTGGACAAGATCGGACTCGCAGATCGGATTGCACCAGTGGGACAAAAGAGCCTGGGAATCGAAATGGCCGAAGACGGCAGATTCACCCGTGGACTTTTTAGAGTATGAACTGTTCGTTGATGTGACTGAGTTTCAAACATGCATTGAGGCGTGAAGTCATGTTCCTTTTGAGCTCAGTACCTGCAAGTTGTTGTAGCCTTTTGGGGTTTACAGTACAAGTGATGGACATGCTTCTCGAGGATGATCCCTTGCTTTAGATTCGAACAGTGTCCGGGTGGCCCACAGTGACCAGAAGATCTCCAACCAGGTCAGGTTCAGTTACTTTGACAGTAATGGACACTCCTCTCGGAATGCCCAAAGTTGCAAAATTCTCTATCATAAAAAAGGAGCGCTAAGAACTTAGTGCCAAGATGTCACCCTCAACCACAAACAATGTGGTCTGGCACTGATCTCCCCCACAGCTTGCCCGGGCACCGCTCCTGTTGGAAGGTGGTGCAGCAGCTCCTCCTGCAGGGTGCAGATCCCGGCGCCAAGACCGGCGACGCCGGACTGACACCGTGGCAGGTGGCCGAGGCGCCTTGTGGACGGCGGGGGTTGGCTGTGGCATTCTGGTCCAGGGTGAGGTGCGTGTGGTTGAGGTTAAAAACATGGTGAACACATATACTTGAATGAGCATGATGTATGTAATGCAATGTATTGTAATGTAATGTACTGCAATGCACTTATGTAATATTAACAGTATGTATACCATATTTTTCCACGTATCTTTTCTGCTGTCGCGAGGTCTCAGCCTTTTTGGCTTGGAACATCAACGCAATTTTGCCTGTGCTGCATCCTGTGGGCCACATGCGCGCACCAGCTGTTTGCTAGCCTCCCAGTGGTCTTCTTTGCCAGGAATGGCATGGGCCTTGCATCTTGTGCAGTAGACCTTGCCTCCACAGCGCCACATTGCATGGCTGGGATGTCCCCTCCACGTTGCAAGGGGCTTCCATGCTTGGTCCCAGCAAGGTTCTTGGGCTATGAGCTGCAGCTTGTTCCGAGCAGCATTGCGCAATGCCCTCACATGTCACTTGCGGCACACCAGGTAGTTCGTCTGGAGCTCAAAGTCATGGGCCACTACACCATCCAACGGGCCGTTCATGATCTTCTTGATGAAGTCCATTTTGGTCTCCTGCACCTCTTCTGCGTCTTTGTTGCCCCCAGTGTAGGAGAGCCCTCAGTCTGAGCCTGCCAAAGTTCGAGCATCTTCATGTGCTTGTTGACCCTCTTTTTGCACTGGGTGCATTGAAGGCTGGTTCCCTTGAGTGTCCGGTGTCCCTGTGGACTGCTGGAAAGGCCCATGTCGGTGAAGAGCTTCTGGTTGGCTTCCCTAGCCTGCTTCCGCTTCTCTTTCCCAGTTTCACGCGCTTGGTGCATTAAGTGAGTGCATTCTTCCAACAAGTAGCGGACCCTCTGAGCCGACAGTGGTGCAATCCGCTGGTACCTGTGGTCCGGGCTTTGCAGCTCCTCCAACTCATGAGGCCTCAAAGAAAGATCAACTTCCTTGGCAGGCTGTATGGCATCTGCAATACGGTTGCGGACTGACCACCTGCTGGCATAGCCTTGAGCTGCTTCATAGTGACTTTGACCCGATACATTGGTCCAAAGTGCGCTGGTTGAGGTCGAAGAACCCATGGACCCATGCCTCACGCACGCACCGAGAGCACCTGTATGCCCAACATGGAGCTCAGATCCACATAATGCGCTGCCATGCGCAAGCCGTAGAACGCCCTTTCCAGTGTTTGTTTCCCCGGCAGCACTGCTATCACTGCGCCCTGTCTGTAAAGTTCACCGCCAACATTGGTGTGACGCACCAAAGCCACAACAGTGCTTGGGGCGGGGATCAGAGCTGGTGTGGGAGATGCCAATGGTGACCACCTCTTGTTGACGGAGTTTCACCGCATTTTGCCTCGTCCACGTTCCCCATGCCTGAACAGTGGAGATGGTATAGGCAGGAAGCTGAAGGAGTCCTTGTGACCAAAATTCCAGGTTCAGTCCATGTGCCAAAAAAGATGCACTGCCGTGGCCAGCTGTGGTGCTCGTCGTGATTTCATCATGCCTTCATGATGCTTCGCATTCAGCCTCATGGTTGGTCTTTTTACCCAGGCAAGCGCAGTAATATGATGTTTTACTAACAATTGAACCAACAATTCTTCACCAAGGCTCCATGAGCCATTTACTTCAACAATTAAGTAAAATATATTATGTGTGTGTTTTTTGCCTGCCCGTTGGACATTGAGGCTCATGGCTTCCCCGAAGTGAGTGACTTCATCAAGCGCCAGCGGCGGCCTGGATGAGCACTGACGAGTAAAGCTGTGAGGTGCTCATTGCGCTGCGAAAAAAATAGGAAAACGAAAAGCTCTTGGCGGCCAGTCAGACTATGAAGCCATGCGAGGCCATGCAAAGCCATTTAAACATTTGAAGTCCTAGCCACCCTTCACTCAGGATTACACCCGGCATGAACATGTTTTTTCAAGTTGTGCAGAAGCTAGTGTTTCAGTGTGTTTGGTGTCCTTTCTCAGAGGCGTCCTCCACAAGGACCCCGTTTGGTCAAGCTTTCCCCATAAACGGGATCAGCTTCCCAAGAACCAGGAGCTCAAGGCGAAATACGTGTCCGCACTGTCATGAACTCAGTCTCTTCGAAGTATGACGCCATTGTTGGACAAAGAACCGTACGGCAGCATCGCTGGAGGCACCCACCACAACCTGTCAGAAGTTCCCCACGGCTTCAAACTACGAAACATCTCTCTATGCCCACAGGCGAGCACAGCTACTTTTCAAAGCTGCCTCTACCCATGCGACGCGTGTGCCTTAAGGGCACATCACCTTATGGGCTCCCCCGGCCCACTGACCACAGGTGGTGGGACGTGCCTGTCCGATTTCAAGAATCCACCTAATTTCTCCAATGATTGTCCCATTTCTCCTGTCAGAAATCCGATCAGATTGGATGAGCGTGAGCCCTTGAGCCCCCCAAACAATCCACGATCTCGATCGCTAGATCTAAACACTAGCAAATGTGTTTGTGTTTTGTTTTGTGTCTTGTTTTTTAATGTTTTTTCGGAGTGCCTTGGGCTCTGAGTTGCAAAGCACTGGGACGAGCTGTGGCAGATTCCAAAGAGGACTGGTAAACACTGACATCACTGACCAGGGACACAAGTTTTCGGTCATTTTCAACTAGAGTCTTTTTGTCAAGATTTGTTGTCTCTTTTAAAAACGAACCAGGTAAGCCATTAACCACATGCAAAATTGTTTGCAAGGACTGCTTATTGGCCAAAGTGACATGTTTGAGATGCGAACAAATTGCTTTGTCATAGACCGGACACTCACATTTTGCGTGTTTGCTTCTCTTCCTCTTGACCAATGCGTTTGGGGAGCCTTCATTCTGATTCTTGCTCCTTCATCGCAAGGAGGACGTTGAAGAAGATGAGGAGGAGGCAGCCCCGTTCAGCTTGTGTTGATTTGTGCTGATAAGTAACAAGTCCAGTCAGCAGTCCAGGAAGAGCTTGTTCTGGCGTCGTGCCAGTTCAAAAGCCATTGAGATCCGATAGCGCTTGCTGTGACGTTTTCACAGAGTGTCCGGTCTTCTTCTCGGGATTTAGTCACGAAATGAATTGGTCCTTTCCTATCCGCTTGCTATTCTTGGCCAGGGGGCTCCTTATTTCAATTTGGTGACGTACAACACTTTGACCAGATTGAGCTTAGCGTTCCTTTGACTCCGGAGCGCTGGCACAGGTTTCACTTGTTTGACAAGATCTAGCCGTCCTCCAATAGAGATGGCATCAAATGGCACAAGTCAAGCTTTGGTGGTGAAATCGCATACTTCATCTACAGTAGATTGTCTCCAGAGCTGATTGTCAGACGGTGGCGTACACTGCAACTTCTGGGCCAGGAGCTGCTGTGCCGATGTAAAGATTTGATCCTCTTGTACTTGGGAAGCAGCCAACTCCTCCTCCAGGCTCGCCGCTGGTGAGAGGTTGTGGCATGCTTTCTAGAATAGTTCAAGTGAACATGGAACAACATGTTTGAAACAGTTCTGAAAGTCACTCATGCCAATTTGGACTGGGCCTCGTGTTGGGCCAATTTTTCATGTTGGGCTGACCTCACCATACTGTAAGTTACTGTACAATACCCATTAAACAGCAGATTTGGTACCGAGACACACCGCAGTGTTGCAGACTTTTGTCTCGTCGTGGAAAACGGACCCTGGCCAGGGCCAGGGTCCGTTCACCTGATACAGACGAGGTTTTTCTCGATCACAGAGATCTTTTGGTCAGTCCTCCAAGTGAGGGTGAAAATCGGCACCCATGTTGAACAAATCATCCCAACAAAGCCCAACTTACAATTTCGGTGTCAGGACTTGTCGTGCTGGACCTGTGAAACACTCGTAGACTCCAAAGCATTTGGTATTTCATGGCAGTCCATGGCATGTCCGAAGGAGTTCCAGCAGATCTACTCCAAATCAATTTGTTGAATGCACAAAGCCTCCTTCATCGACTTCGCAGGACACCACCTTTGAGCTTCGAAAGGCCAAAGCCTTCAAGCAACGAAAGCATGCGATGGATGGGGGCCAAATTGCCTGGTTGGCATGTGATATCATGTGATAGTCCAATAAAACCAGGTGTATATGGTTTATATGTTTATAATTTACAATTGTCAGGCTCAGGCAATCTTAAACTAACTAAAACCTCCCTGGCTCATGATAATGCTGAGTTGATCTCGGATATTTTTCCCTAGGTCCTGATCACAGCTTCTGAGAAGCTGCTGGGTGAGGGCAAAGCAGGTGGAACTGAAGATAGAAACATTTTAGAATACCTTGTGTTTTTACTTACATGGGTCTAGCTTGTGCTTTTGCTAATGTGAATGGTACAAAGATGTAGAATACATTAGAATACTATTCTCCAAAGAGACAAGGAAAATTGTATGCAGTACGCAAGGTCCCCTGAAATGCTGCGAGATGGAGGAGTTTGACCATTTCATCGAAGCATCCTACATGCGGAGACATGCGCGGATAAACCTTCCGACGTGCCGCGCTGCCGGACCAGGGTCATCGGTATGGCATTGTCGGATCGAATGGAACAGGCTGGCAGGGTGGATCAGGGATTGGAGGTCACTGCCCTCAGATAGGCATGTTTGGCAGCTTGGGACCACCATTTCGGGAGGGCAGAACATCTCGAGAGATGACATAAGCAATCTCGAGCAGCTGTGCTTTGGGTGGAACCTGCCTTGTATTTGTGGCCGTTGACACTAGTTTGGACGTGTTGGCAAGTCAAATTCCGGCGCTTCACAGAGCTTTGCGAGTTTTCGATTTAATATTGATGTCAAGAAGACGCAGCTGACTGTGAGAGATAGGCTTGATGGAGGCAAGGGCAAGCAAAGGGAACTGATTCCCTGGGTTTGCGACTTGCTCACTGGTGAGATTGATTTAAATCAAGATAAATCAAGTACTCGTACCCAAAATGCGAGTGGCACGCGGCTTTGGTCCATAGACAACAGGCGCTGCCTCACGCACAAGTCTTTGTGGTGCAATGCGCCAGACCTAATGGTGGTCAGACATCCGTGGACACCCGAATTTGATGACAAGCTCCTGGCAGCCTGGCAGCACCTTGCAGATGGTGGATGTTCTTGGTGCACTGAGAACAGCAAGCTGGATCTCCTTCGCTAACCAGTCTTGGAAGAGTTTGGCAAAACGACTTGGATGCCCGCCGTGCATCTCCGTGGAAAGAATCACGGCAGGAGAGGTATCAGATGGGCCGCCTGATTGTGTGTTTCCCAAAAGCATCTCCGATGCTTGGGTTCTCGTTTAGTCGCTTGTTGGGCAGAGCGAGACGAGGCCAGCATTTTCGTGGACGGAAGATGGGTGTGGACGGGGCTGTGGATGATGTGAGATTTACATGGACGCAGCATAAATGGGGCTATATACAAGGACAGTGACCATCACATTCACATGTTCCCTTCCGAACCTTCCCCAACGCTTGCTGAACTGCTGCTAGGGCCTAGCTCACATGTTACCCGCAGACTGTCCAACAATGGCACGGCATGGGAATGGGATGCTTCCCATCAAAGTATCTGCCGAAATTGGGCCCTGTCCCACCAGCCAAGCAAGCTCAGCCTGGAGGTTAGGGACTGTGCAAAGACTGTTGATTGAACATGTTTGTTCACACCATGTTGGATAAAGCAAAACGTCACATAGATCAATCTAAGTGCAGTTCTTTAGGCACCATGATGCTGCCCAGCTAGGATTGAGGCAACATCTCTGGACCCTGGACCGACAAGAGGTTATAGAGCGAGGAAGTTGCCAAGGAAGGGATACTGTGACCAGGGAGCAAAAAGCAGAGGTGCAGTGAGGTGCAGAGGAGTTGGGTCCCATGTGCAAGTCGACGTCCCAACAGTATCTGTCCAACCAACAAGAGGAGATTTAACCAATTTATATATAAGCGTTTCGATTTCCTGATCAAACCAGCGGGTGTACGGTTGAATCATGTTAGATCTTAAACAAAAAACATGTTACAGGTGGTGCTCATCGAACTTTGCCGCCTTCGGAGCTCGTTCCACGAGTTGATTGGAGCTGCCCTCTCTTTGTGCGGAACGAGAAAAGGAGCTTTCGGGCCTTCGCCTCTCAACACCTGAGATTCAAATTACAATGTAGTGATAATGTATGAAAATGATTGAACATGTAGTGCATATATTAAATATGTATGAACAAACATACTGTATATATATATATATTAAGATGACGCGCTGAAATAGCCTTATGTGATCAGATATTTTCCTTAGATGTTTTCGGTGTCGGCTGCATGCCATTGATATATATATATATATATGTTATGGTGGGTTCATGGCCAAAGAGTTGTTTGAACTCCACAGCTCATTCAGCTCTTGTTGCTTCGCCGTTTTCTTCCAGGCAAGACCACCCTGATGGAGCGCATCGCTGATGGCGCCATCGCGGAGCGGTGGAACGGAGGGTGAACGGAGCGCTTTGACGGTTTTCGGTCGGATCGATGTGGCTGGCTGAATGCAGGCGTTGGCAATTGGCAACATTGCACATGTGATGGGTTGGAAAACATGTTGGACATGGAATTATCAAGGACAGGACCCACAAATTGAGAAGTCAAAGCTTAGCATGTTCCCCCATGTTGGTCCTTACCGTCCGGACTTTGCCTACATTGGCTGGATGTGCATGACCACTGTTTGGACATGTCGCTGATGTCAGTCGACCACCGCCTGGTCAGATGCCGACAGCTTTCGGAGACAGCAGCAGTAGCTGAGCAGTAGCCACCGGACCTGGACGATAGCAGCAACATTAGATTGACTCAGAGCAAGGGCAGAGAGGCGAGGGCTGAATTGTAGCGGAAGACATATATATTATGAAACGCTCGAAGTCAAGTTGAGAACTACGTACATCATCCAATAGACCAGTCAGGTGCGTGATGCGGCTATACCGCTCCCTGAGCACCGTAAAGCTTGCGTATATGATCACGGCGAGGGAGTCGCTTCGGAACGCAGAAAATAGTTCGCTTCGGAACGCGGGAACGGTATCGCTTCGGAACGCGTGTCAGAGCTAGTAGGTTGGAGGCCATCGCTACGACTAGTCTGCACTGTTTGGTTGCTAACTGCAACCCACCCCACCCCCCACCCCACCCCCCCACCCAACCCGCTCATTGGTTTGCACGGCAGAAGTATGCTTTGAAAGGCCATCAAAACGTGCGTGTGTGTGTGTGAAGATGTTGACCTTGTCCAATCTGGCAACCCTTTCAGCACTTCAGAGTCGCACTGTTTGGTTGCTAACTGCAACCCACCCACCCCATCCCCCCACCCCACCCCATCGTTCATCCTTAAACCCTCCCCATCTGTGTCTGTGTGTGTGTGTGTCCACCCCTGGACAAAGGGTTCTCCAGCATTTTTCTCACCCACCTTTTGTCACCAACCAATTGCTACCACAGGCAGGGGGCTCACGGGTCTGTTCCTGGCGTGAGCCAACGAAGCTCCAGGTTCAGACTAGGATATCGAAAGAGGACGCTCTTTCGACGTACCTGCGCCAACTTTTGACCAAGCCGTTCCAATCTCCTTTGGTTTGATTCCATGGTCTTTCATGTTTCCTTCCCTAAACCTTTTCCTCCCCAGCAGCGCTGCAGCTTGAGCCGCTTCGTCACCGCAGTCAAGGGAAACAACCTTTGTTCAAACACCTACAAGTTTTTCGGACCTTTCACCTTGCGGTTCTTCACCGTCCTTCCCAACGTGGTAACTGAGTTCACTGAATACAAATGTCGGAGTGTGTTCTAAAGTGAACCAAAAAATCAGGTGCGTTGTGTTCCAAAGTGATCTCGCTTTTTGCTAACCCTTCCATGTTTTTGTGTGTTTTGTGAGTTCCAAAGTGACCCATGTTTTGTGTTCCAAAGCGAACAAAAACCCTGAGTTCCAAAGTGAACTAAAACTTGTGTTCTGAAGTGACCCCGCTTCCTATGATCACACGCGAGATGTACTCCTAGCTATTGTGACATGCAGAGAATAAAGAAGCAGCTGGTGTTGGCAACGCACCAGGAGCTGGCGAATAGCAAGCTTCGTTTTGCTGGGAACCCTGGCGAGTAGAGCGCAAGTCTTGAGTTGCTCAGATTTGTCTCCATGGTGCCATCTAGGGTGTCGAGAATTGCCCTCCGCACCCGCAGAGGCGAAAACCAAGTCCAGCTCTTTTGGAATCACTCTTTGCTCATGGTCATCATACACCTTTTTATGAAAGGCGTTAGATAGATGTATATATATATATATTTGTATACTGTATATATTTGTTTATTTATGTCATTGTTTAGTAATAATATTATAGAACTATAGTAATATATTCAGCCCCAGCATTGAGGTCCAACAGCCCCTTAGCCGTAAACTCCTAACCCATTCAACCTGAATGCTTCGTCAAGCCTCAGTGGTCCGAGGTACATATTCGACATGAGGCTCTTGAAGAGAGTGCGGTGCTTGGATGACATGCTCAAAATCGATGAGAAATCGAAGCTTGAAAAGGGGGGCCAACTTGGGGCATTTTGGTGAATCGAAGCGAAGACAAATTGTCTTCGAAAGCTCTACTCAGAATCTCAGAATCACTTGGACTCGGCCTGTTTTTTTCTCGCAAGGACTCAGTTGGGTTTGAAAAGTCGATAGGATAGCCAAACCTGCAACTACAGGTGTTCATGTTGTTCACCTGGCCCAAAAGGGCAGCCACGGGCAGCCCATCCAGCATGAGAAACCCTCGAATCGTTGATTTTATGTGCAAATTACAGTTGGGTCTTCAGTTGGATTCCTTCCATAGCAACACTTCAATTGGGCATGAAATGTTCAGAAAACTGGATGGACCATGTGCCAGTGTGCCACTGCCAAAAAAAAATAGACATATATATATATATATACCAGTATATAATTACACACACACATCCAGAAACATGGTGCAAAACTCCGCATGTGCGCATGTTTTTGAGGGGAGATCGAGGAAACCCATTCCTTCAAACGGGATCCTCTCGGACTCCGTCCCCTCGCCATCGCCGCAACCCGCGGAGCGCCGGAAATCCAAGGGAGCGACGTGTCTCAGACGGCCTTGGACTACGCGTGGCAGGTGCCGCAGGTCAAAAATGACCGGGAGGGGGATCGAAATTGGAAGTTACACATGTGGAAGCAAATGGCCACATGAAACATGACGGAATGTATGCAATATATACATATCTCTATATATATATATATATATAAATAAAGGCTCCCATTTAGAAGAGGTTTCACAGTTCAATTGGGGTGGTTTGATTGATCAAGCGTCTACATTAGATGAATATTATGTTGTTCACATGTCCAGTTCATGTACATGGAAAGCAAGGGACCAGCATGGTGAGGGAAAGACAGAGTGGGTCAGCTTTTGGGGATGGGACCATGAATCCCATGATTTGGGATCTAAAAAACCAGCTGTTCGATGGTGGGCGGCTTTGGCGCCACCGGAGCTTTATATCGGTCGTACTAAGGTTGCCGTAACTGACTCTCTTTCAAAACATCGGTCGTTTGGAGCTTCCACGGCCTCCAAGGTGGTTGGCCAGGATGCCCCTTTGCACGCAGCCCTGGACGAGGACCGGTGGTGCCGGGGCTAGGCGGCTGCAGGAGTTAATGATATGACTCACATACGGCTCATGACTCTGACAACACAAGACACCACAGAGTCACAAGAAGTGCGGCCACGTCTCAGCAAACCTTGGAGATGGCAGCCTCTTTAGTTTTTAGGATGTCTTTAGGCCATGGAGTCAGATTTGAACGATACGAACCACTCCTAGATTCTAGACCCCTCATCGATAAAAAGAAGAGGGTGTTGTGTAGAGTTCTTACACGCTTAGATCATGTTACTTCTTCCCAAGGCCGAATCCGGTGGCACCTTCTGACGACCTGTCGGCACCGAAACAGGTGGGATTCACCGACGTGGGGCGCCTCAGGTCACAGTCGCATTTACCCATGTGACATGAGATAGACCAAGATTCGATGGATCTCTCACAGATAGACTGAAATGGCCACTGACCAGCCATTCTGAACCATGTCTCGTTCCATGGTTGTTTTCACGAGGATGAGGGGATTGAGTGGATGGTTTCAGCACAGAGAAAACAAACTGTGTAGGATCATTTGGAGCTCCACAGACCAAGAGACGGATGGTATATGTTGAACTATGAGCTGAAGCGGTTGAAAAAACAAAAACATTAAGAAAAGCGTCAGTAGATTATTCCTTAAATCAATGGGTGTCGGTCATTCACTGTCAGTCGGTTCTCTCCGTCGTCTCGGCTGCTTCTTCGGCCGCAGGAGCTCAGGATGAAACCTGTTTGCGAGCTTTCAGGAGGTGGCTTTCCACAGCCGACATCAGTCGTTCAAATGTCGTTCCGGAGGTGTGCAAAAGGGATCAGATTCTTGCTAGTACATGTTGGTTTTTTCATGATTTAACCTCTCCAAGACCTCAGACCATGTCCTTCCTATAGCAGAGTGACCCCAAATAGATTGGGATCTCCTTCTCAGATTTGTCCAGAACAAGCCGATGAATTTGGATTTGGAACCATAGCAGGGAAGACGAGAATGAGATGCAGACCACAAACATACCAAATAGATTCCAATAACAGGGGAGGTTGCCTTTCTTGCTTCCATTCGGCTAGTGCGAGTTTCGCACCCCAAATTCGGCAGCGGGTTCTTGCACTTGGCTGAGTCATTTGCAAATATATGCAGTGAGATTTGACAGCAAATCCACAGAAGTGAGTGTTGCCCAAACGTTTGCTCCAGGTTGGCGTGTAAGGCTTTTGCTAGCGACAGCAGTCGCCCGTGCTGCAGATGTGCTGCTCTTGGACGAGCCGACGAATCACTTAGACTCGCAGGTGACTGGTGGGAGTCCAGGAGAGGAAGACGTTGGGTGTTGATCTTTTTTGGACTGAAAGGTGATGAAGCAAAAGTTAATTATCATTTAGACCTCTATGATCTCTAGAGATCGTGTGTACCGAATCCTATAGATACTGTAGATAGGGAAGATACAACCTGTCAAAGTCTGCCAAGTTCTTGTTCAACAGTCACATGGTGCATGGGTTGCCTGAATTTGTTGCTGCTTTCCTTGCAGTTGTTTGTTCCGTGCCAGGCGCGGATGTTCTAGTTTAGTAAGGCCCTAGAGTCAACGAGTGTACCACTCCAGTACCTGATCCATGCATGTTCATGCGCTGAAGGATGAAATCAATGAAGCTTCAGAGCCCCCGGATGACCCGATGTGTTCGAAGAAATCACAGCGTCAAAATTTATTTCGACACGTGGTGTCCAATTTGGTCCTTGAAGCCAAAGCCGTCCCAGGGTCTTGTTAGTTTTGCTGACCTACGCATCACCAGCTGAACAGGCAGTGTCCTGGCTGGTGAGCTACTTGAACCACCGCAAGTCCACTTCTGTGGTCGGGGCTCCCATTCGAACGACCGCCTTGGGGCCTTTCACAGGCGTCGGGATGGTCTTCGGACACCCGCGGACCGGCGGACAGAGTAGTGATTTTTCTTTTATTAAATGTGGTTTTTTACTCTGGAGGTGTTGCTGTCAAGCTGAGGATGACGTAAAGGCACAATGCCACTGCACTTCTGGGGCTAACTCACAACGATCTAAAAATGACACAATTGAACCAATTCTGTCTCCCATGGTCTCCCTATTTGGTCTTCACATCGCTTTATAGTTTGGTTTTCTACTTCGAAACCTTGTGAGGCCGTTTTGTGCCATTTTTTCCTTGTTACGCTTGACCCCTAAAGAAATTGGAAGGGCGGGATCCAAATCCTCACGCCTCTGGCAGCATGCCCTGGAAAAAGAACACTGATGAACCTAAGACTCTTTTTTGGACCCTTTGTCGAAGCTCTTTTCAATTGGTTTCGCAGAAAGCCTCAACCCAGCCAGAACCCTTGCAGACCAGCAAGATCCTCTCTTCTTACAGACCCATGTGGACTTGGAAGCCTAGGTGGTTTCACATGACGCGCTGTTCCTGGACCAAATCTGCACCGACATCATCCACTTCGATGAGGTCGCGACCTCGGGGTTCCGACCCGAGACGTGTGAACTGGAGGTGTTGCCCTAATGGCAGGGCTCAAGATGTTTGTCCAAGGAGGTCCATTGATGTGTTGTTTTTACCAATAAGATTCAATAAGATCCAATAAGTAGAAACTGGAGAGGTGTTCGTGCTTGGAAGGCAGATTTGCTCCACTTCGTAGGGAGAGATGCCACCTGCTCAGTGTAGGCCCCTAGGCTGCCAACATGCTACCAGGGTGAGGAAGTGAGTTTGAATGTTTTGCTTGTGATTCCACTGGACCTTGTAAGATAGTTTGCCTGGCATGTTAATCAACATGTGATTCTCCCAGTTTTGGAGGTTGCAGAACTGTGATGTGTTTTGACAACACTCACAGTGGTGAGAGTTTCTTCGCTGACTCGATCTGGCTCGCGCTCAGTGTCAGCTGAAGTACTACCGCGGCAACTTCAGCGTCTTCCAGCAGCAGGCTAGCCTTTTCGGCAAACACTTCTCCATGAAGCTGTGGAGAGGACGCTGGCCCCGTGAGACGGGGCGGCGGTTTCTGATCGCGAGCGCATCGGGCAGAAAGCACCAGATCGGCCACTCGTCCACTAGCGTAGCTCTCCAGATCGGCATGGGGTGTGACAGGATGATCCACCATCCCAAATCCAAGCCTTGCTCAGCCTGCCTTCGGTGAAAAGTGACGACCCAAACACCATCGGGGGCAGGTCCCGTCCACCAGGGTCTGTGCCGGACAAACGGTCGAGCCAGGCTCCACAGTTCCACCCAAGGGACTTGCTGAAGGTGCGCGGCTCAAAACCGTGCGGAAACCGGACGCCTGAGGTCTGTGTTTCCTGTGGAAACGTTGAGGCAATTTCTGCGGATCGTGTGAGTCGGCAAGCCTTTACAGAGCTTAGGCTTAAGCTTTAGGAATCGGAGGTGGTTGACTCTGGCAAGAAGTGATATTTCTCGCCTTCACCAACTCGGCCAGCTGAGCCAACGGGTGTCAAGTCGATCGAAGCAGGAAATTCACTTCTTTAAAGCCATTTGCAGCCCTTGGAGGCTTGGAGGTGTTGAGACAACCTACCAAAAGTGGGGAAACATTTATAGGATTCTATATCCATCTATATCCCCGTTGCTACCGGCTATCTAAAATGAGTGGGCCCGACCACGGGAAAACCATGGTAGTTGATTCATTTAGTTTAGGGTCATCTAAAATTGATCTCAAATAAAGTGGTTGGCAGCGACAGATTTGTGAACTTGTCAAGTTAGCCAGTTTTCAAAAAAAAGCACAGGCGGCATAAGTGTTTGAGACGGGAATCCATTTTTAGTTTAACATTAGTCTGGGCGAAAATACGAAAAGTCATTGTAGATAACAAAATGTCGGATAAAATGGTGGGTGAACCTCATCCGGTAGCAACGGGTATGATTCTATAGAGGTTCAATCTGCCACTTCCCAAAGGAAAAACGGTGCAAAAAGCTGTCATCATCACAGTCTCTTTCACTGGACCTTCACTGGGTGCGACGGTCGTTCTTCGGTGAGCTCAGGTCCGCTCCGAGAGCCAGCCAGAAATGGCGTCCGTGCGGAAGGTCAGCAGAATTATGCATTCCACGTTTGCTGGGGAAGACAACTTCATAGCAGAATAGGCATCTTCGTAGCAGTCTTCATAGCAGGCAAATTACGTGAGATTCATGCAGCTTTGCTAGCTGTGTCAACTCCAATTGCGCACATGTGTAAACTCATACAGATTCACAGAGGAGTGACCTTGCACGTGTGAACGTTCTAAAAGTGAAAGGAGGCAGTTTACCAAGCATAAGGTGCAATGATACGAGAAACGAGTGTGAAAAACAGAAGAGTACTTGTGAAGCTGTGTTCGACTCTGATGCTCTGTGTATACAACAGCTGTGGAACAAAAGGCTTTATTTCTCACCCTTTGGATACTGTACTCATGGATGTCCCAGCGGGCAAGGAAACTCCAGGTGGTTTTGACAGTACACTGGGAAAGAAGGTCAGGCTTTACTAATGTGCAGAGCTGACATGAGGACAATACTCATTTGCCGCTTGTCGGTTCGCTGGTATACATGGCTGGAAACCAGTTCTCCCTGCTCCCTCGCATGCTCAGGCTGTCCCAACGCCCCAAGGAGGCAGGAGGGCAAAGGTGAGCGGGGTAGAAGGTAAACCTACTGCTTCCCAATTATTTTTAAGTAGAACGAACGGAATGATTCTTAGCAAAACATGTAAGGATGGAAGACAGTCAAAATGCCAGCGCCACGTTGGCGGAGTTCTTCGTCGTAGAATGCGTCGGACTTTTTTGCCCTCACTAATTCGGAGGGCTTTGGAGCTTTGAATTTCCACACCTGTACCTCTCAGAGGTTTCGCGCAGATTGAAATAGTGTTCAGATTATTCAACAAGATACCGAGTCATTCGGAAGTAAAGAGCATGGAATGTAATGTAATATAGATATACTGGAGTTACTGGAATGTAATCTATAATGTAATGTAATGTAATGATGTGCAGTGTAATGTAATGCATGTTATTTTGTGGTATGGTATGCGACGTGATTCCATGTCATGTCATGCTATGGTGTGTATGTAATGTAATGTAATGTAATGCAATGTATATTTCGATTGTCATGTAATGTAAGCATTGTGCTGTATGTACTGTACGTTTGTAATGCATGTATGCAATGCAATGCAATGCAATGCAATGTCATGTAGTGTAGGGTAGAGTAAGGTAAGGTAAGGAAGTAGGTCAGTATGTATGTAATTGTATTGTATTGTAATGTAATGTAATGTAATGTAATGTAATGTAATGTAATGTATGTATATATGTTAGTATTTTCGCACTCTAGCGTAATGCAATGTAATGTAGTGATGTTTCTGATTTTCAAGACGCTGGACGAGTCGTCGTTTTCGCGCATTCTGCGTTGTTCCTCTTGGGTGGCTGGTCACCCAAGAAGCGTGTTCAAAACTTGGCCAAAGGAAGGTTCGCTACTAGTAACAAGTGCCACGCTAGTAGTAACAGGTGCCTTACTAGTTAGTAGTAACAAGGTTCGCTACTAGTAACAAGTGCTTCTTTGCGGGTCTGGGTCGTCGATGCCTCAAGCTCAGGTCGTTTTAGTAGAATCGATGGCAAGCCAGGTGGAGTCAGGGCACCACGATCCAGAGCTGCACCCTCCCCGAAGTGTGAAGGGTGTCATGCTCAGTTCCCTGCTATTTGGTATCATTTCAGGGAGGTTCACCTCAGCTCCAAACGTACTTTGGGATCAAAGTAGGGCCAAGCAAAGGGTGAGAGCAATCGATAAAGACGCAAGCCACCATTGGCATACTGGAAGCCATTCCAACAGTAAAGGTCCAGAATGCAATTGTAATTGTAATTGTAATTACTGGTGAAGTATATTATGTTGTGTACTGTACTGTGCTGTACTGTATAGTGTGATGAAGGGTAATAAATGTATCTAATGTAATGCAATGGTATGCTCGTAATGGTACATGTTACATATGTATGTTATATGTATGTTATGTTATGTTTGCAATGTTATTGTAACGGTGTGTATTGTAATCTATAGAGTGTAATGCAATGTAATGTAGAGCTATGTACCTTAACCTAACGTGAAGCCCCAGAACCTAAACTTCTGCTTTGTGAAGAAAAATGTGGTTGTGCCCCGGTCTCAACAAGATCGACATAGACCGCAAAACGATGGTGTGCCGCATATCAGAGGTTTCCTGATTCCATATTCAACGAATTCATCTCCTTGGTTGTATTGGGACTTGACCATACTTGACCAAGTATTTGTACAATAAAGTTGTTGCAAAAGCGAACAAACAAGGCTTTTGTCCAGCCAGGCCTGTGGATCACGTTCCAGCAATCACGCTTCAAAGTACGAACTCATGTGGCGACAGTGGGTTGCCCAAAACACTATCACTTCAAAACCGATATTCATGAAAATCATCTGGCGGCGTTTTGACCTGGAGACTGTGACTCGGCCGCGTCGCGCGGGATTCATTCATCACCAAAACACTTTGGAACCAAGGCTATCGCATGGCCTTGCCAGTGCCCGGAAAGGTGGGTCCCGTGGACACGGCTCGTGTCGTTTGGGCGGACGAGAAGCGGTGTTATTTGCTTTGCAGACAGGTATAAATATATTGTAAACAATTGAATGCTCCACCGGTAGACTGGGTAGTTGAATCATGTTGAATCGTTTTGTGTGTGTTTTTCGGTATTCAGTTTGTATATATTTATATACCGTTTTTCTCCCACAAAACAGAGAGATCCTGAGCAGGTGGATTGCTTCAACAGATTCAGCCAGTGGACTGCAAAACAAGAAAAACAACAATGCCATTGCTACTCAAAACATGATCCAGGGATTCCCAGAACAGAAGGAACCGTGAAGCATTATTTGATCTTGTTGCTATAACCAGGTTTCGCATGCGACCGGTGGATCTGATCTCGCAGCCAAACAGTGGCTGAGTTCTGCAAGGCACCATCAGTGCCCATTTCTAAAGCGCTGTGTTTCGTTCTTCGGTGACAGAACTGGCACCCTAGTTCGGTCTGGAATGTCGAAATTCTTGTTTCTAATAGCTTCTTGTTACTACTAGTAAGGCACCTGTTACTA